CGCAGGGCAGTATTCCAACATGATAACGACCCCAAACACACCTCCAAGACGACCACTGCCTTGCTAAAGAAGCTGAGGGTAAAGGTGATGGATTGGCCAAGCATGGGCATCCTCAAATGGAAGGTGGAGGAGCGCAAGCTCTCTAACATCCACCAGCTCCGTGATGTCGTCTTGGGGGAGTGGAAGAGGACTCCAGTGGCAATCTGTGAAGCTCTGGTAAACTCATGCCCAAGAGGGTTAAGGCAGTGCTGGAAAATAATGGTGGCCACACAAAATATTGACACTTTGGGCCCAATTTGGACATTTTCACTTAGGGGTGTACTCACGTTTGTGGCCCGCGGTTTAGGCATTAATGGCTGTGTGTTGAGTTATTTTGAGGGGACAGCAAATTTGCACTGTTATACAAGCTGTACACTCACTACTTTGCATTGTAGCAAAGTGTCATTTCTTCAGTGTTGTCACATGAAAAGATATAATAAAATATTTACAAAAATGTGAGGGGTGTACTCACTTCTGTGAGATACTGTATATGCAATATTTTATACAGGATCTGAAGTTGCTTATTAAATTATATATATTTTTTCTGATTATAATCGTATAGGCTATTTATTATTTTTAGAAATCATTTTCACTAAATTTCACAATTTAATTAGCTACATATAAATGTTGATTATGACCAAACCAATAACCTGCAGGCATTTTGTGACATATATAACAATAAAACACAACAGTACATACTATTTTCTCCTAACAAACATCAAGCATAGCGTTAGTTCTGGCAGGTCACGTTAGTCAAGCTCGCATCAGCTGACCTTCAGCTGATCCCCATCAGCCTATGGGAATACAACACTTATCTAAGCCTTCATATATAAGGTCCCTCAGTATTATCAGCAGTTTTCGCATTGCTCAATAGCTAATTACCCTCCTACATCCCCAGCTCCTCCTCTGTCAGTCAGGATTCAGCCTTCTGATTCTCCTTTGAATCAGACTAATTAAAAAATGTGTACATAAAATGATTGAACTTTAACAATATCTGCAATACATTTATGTTGGTTCTGTTCTGTTTACCCTGGGGGGTTATCGCTGCTCTCCCTGCTCTCATCCATGCTAGGCTGCATGGATGCGCAGGGAGTTCTTGCCCAGAACGGAACCATACCGCCAATCCAAACTGTATGCTAATTGTCAATCATCTTTGACGATAGTGGTCCTGACAGAAATATGGTTAGTAGAGTGAAGAACTGTGAGAATTTTCTCCCTCTTGTTGCCATTAGGATAAATGCTGTTTTCTCTGAAAATGTCGCAGCTTGAAATACCCCGACGTCTTGATTGTGATGTTGTGATGTCTGTGTTTATCAAGTCAAGTCAAGTCTGCTTTATTGTCAATTCTTCCACATGTACAGCACATACACACAGAGAATTGAAATTGCGTTACTCTCAGACCCTTGGTGCATAAAGATAACACTAACAGATCGGTCGAGCGGATGGACCGATATGCAAACTGGAAGGGGTCCAGGGAGGGGGGGAGGGCAGACTTGATATGGTGCATGACTAGCCGTTCAAAGCACTTCATGAGGATGGGGGTAAGTGCAACTGGATGGTAGTCATTGAAGCAGGATGGAGACGACTTCTTTGGGAAGTATTTGGTGTTTTATTTTGACTTATTTGGTGTTTTTCTGACACATTTCACTATACTTCTGTATTATGAACAGTCATTCTGAAATGTGTTTTTCTTGGCAAGCGTGCTGCTTGTATATTCCATTAAAATCAATGCAGTTTAGTGGAATTCAGTAAATAATGCATTCCTTTACACAATGAAGTGTTCATACAATTAGTTTTTAATCTCGTAGAAATCGAACAATAAAAATAACATCTTCTAACACTAAGCATTTCAGTATCAACACATACACACACATGAAATTACATTACTATACATTGCATAAATATTAAAGTGCATTCTGAATATATATTACAATACAGACTATTTGAAACGGATTATTCAAGGCATTTTATCTGTTCAAGTGTTTCTGGGCTTCAAAGTTTACCGTCACTAAAATCACTCTTAAGACTGGACGTGTGAGATGACAGTGCAGTAAAAACTTCAGAGATGTGAAAACTGGCTTCCCCGATCCACTTCCCATTTCTATTCTCTCTTTCTGTTTAAAATAAGTTATGCAGTCATAGCTGACCCAAAAATGTCCTTCTCATTCTCACACGGAGAGGAATTAACTAGAACCTCTAGTCATTTCAAACAGCAACAACCTAAAAAATTTAATATTTTTAAATTGTGGTATAAATGCAAAAATGCAATTTTCTGAACTTTAGAGAGGATTTTTTGACCCATTTAAGTGATACTTGCTTATAAATTCATTATTACTTTTATTTACGGTTAAAGCATTCTGCCAAATGTTCTTACAAGCATTTTGCTATTTAAATATATAATTTCTATTAAAACTTATAATGCATGTATTAAAAAAATAAAATTACACTTTTGAAATTATCAAGTATAGTATATTTTAAATATATGACCCTTAATAGAAACACTAAAATCAAGTACATTACATGAGCTTTAGTATGCTAGTCAACACATTAAAATACTGTAAGTGTGCTTCTATAAAACATGGCAAGATTAATAAAAATAATGATTTCAAATCCTTTAATGTAAAACTTTTAATTTGACTATATTACAAAGTTTACTTAAGAAACACAGTCATGAAGGTCCACTCTCTTTAAGTGTACTTTTATTTCCTTAATATGACATTATCTTTCAGTAGATTTGAAGTAGGCTACAAGTGCACAGTGAATTCACTGAAGTGTCTTTTTCACAAGGCTCTTTGTGAGCATCTGTACCTTATTCTTGCAGAAGCTGGGTCTGCACATGAACTCCAGTAAGGCGGTGAGTAGATGAAGAATGCAGAAAATGAGCTGCAGGCCACTCGCTGCCATGAGGACAGAGAAAAGGGCCATATTCCAGATCACAACATGCCGAGGCTCCACACAGGCAGACGGCCACCGCTCCGGAGCATAGATGTAAAGCTGCTCTCTGCGTGAACATGTGCTTGAGTTATTCACATATAATAACATAATGCTTGAGAGAACTGGACACAAAACAAAAAGAACAGCACACATTAACACTACCAGTGTTGGGAAGTAACTGGTCACATGCAACTAAATTAAAGTCATTCCATTACAAATTAAATGTAACTGTAATAAGTTACAAAAATGTACTTATGAAAATAAAAAGATGTTTATAAAAAGGGGGTTACATCTGATTTATTTATTTTTTTTCACCCACATACAGATTTAATTGACTTCTTTCATAAATTGCAGTGACTGCTCTAAAATATGAGACACCAATGTTTCAGGACTTTAGTACACAGAATAGAACACATGCTTATTCGATAACTGTTTTATTTCCTATTTGGGTTTATGCGTATGCTTTATTGTATTTTTTTTTTTTTTAAGATAAACTGTTAGATGCCAGTGTTTCCTGTCATAACTATGCAAAGATTTGATTTCAAAAACAGTATCACAGCTACTTAACTATTCTTTGTTATGGTTTTAAATCTGTATTTAACCTCAAATGATCTCTGATTTTGTGCTGGCTGTGCTTTAAAATTAAATTATACTCTCATTTCAAGTGACTTTGAAAATCTGACAATAATCAGTGTTGAGTACTGTAAGGTTAAGTGAAAGTTAAAAAAGTGAAAGTGACGTGTGGCCAAGTATGGTGACCCGTATTTGGAATTAGTGCTCTACATTTAACCCATCCTAAGTGCGCACACACACACACTGTGAACACACACCCGGAGCAGTTGCTGCGGCGCCCGGGGAGCAGTTGGGGGTTCGGTGCCTTGCTCAAGGGCACCTCAGTCGTGGTATTGAAGGTGGGAGAGAGCGCTGTACATTCACTCCCCCCACCTACAATCCCTGCTGGTACCCTGTAACCCACAACCTTTGGGTTACAAGTCCGACTCTCTAACCATTAGGCCACGACTTAACCCTGCCTGCTTTACTGTACATGTTTGAAAATGAATAACAGTTAGAAATTTAGAAAAGGATTAGAAAAATAATCAAATGTAATCAGTTACACTACTTTAATGAAGTAATTGAAATAGTTAAACTACTTGTAACATTTTAGATAGGGTAACTTGTAATCTGTAACAAAGTAACCTTTCCATCACTGAACGATACATAAGATAAACTCAACTTCACAGCACACAACCTCAAAGCTAACTTCATGTGGAGTTAAAATCACTTTAATGCACACATAATGGACACATCAGGTTTAATGTCTGATTTGTTTCTCAGTGAAATGAAACAATACTAATGCTGACGCTTTTGCCTACTGAATGAATAACTTTGTAAAAACAGTGAACGAATCTAGCAATCTGAGGTCTGACTCACCCAGTTTTGTCTTGTTTTAATGGCCGTCCCCACTTTAAGCCGTCAGTGCTGTTGTGTAAACAGAAGGGTCCCCGCGTCAGCCCCGTCCCGCTCACCATGAAACACAAGCCAGCTGCCAGAATAGCCAAACATGTGTAGCCCAACTTACGCAAAACCTGGAAACCACAAAAAAAAAAAAAAAATCCCCCAAAACACTGTTAAGTGATGTGGCATCATTAGGAAAGAATATTTGTTCAAAGCATCATGTTAATCAATTATTGTTCAAATGATGATGGTTAAGAAGAAAATACAACAAATCCACACAATACAATTGTCTTACCTCAGTAGTAAAATAACAGCATCCTTTCTTTTCGTAGTGTGTTGTAAAACCTCGCGCGACCACAAGCACCTGACAAAACACACAACAACCTTCAGAGCAATACTGGACAGTCCGATGTAAAATACACTACAGATGCCACATGACAGTTGCATCATGTAATATGAGTAATGCCCTACAGATGGCCCTAAAAAATACATAAAATAAAAAATATTTTTTATTTAAATAAACAAACAAATAAATAAGTAACATGTATATTAATAAATGTAAAATAGGTCAATTTAGTTATTTTTGTTCTGTTGTATATTCTATTATATACCAAGGTCTGTCTGTATATTCGATTCTGATTGGCTGGCAGCTGTGCTCTAAAACCGTTTAATGCACATGCTGTGCATTATCTCTTACTTATATATAATATACATAATTATGTTTTATTCAATTATATATAACACATACTTATAATACATTTTGATGACTTCATTTTATTATTATTCAGTAAATATCTAATATAATAATTTATTAACAAGATTCTTATTCATACTGAGTATATATAAATACACAGACATATTATTGAATACTACATTTACTATATTCCAATAATAATAATTCTGTAATTGTTTTAATATATGTGACCCTGGACCACGAAACCAGTCATAAGGGTCCATTTTGTTTTTAAATTGATGAATAAATAAGCTTTCCATTGATGTATGGTTTGTTAGGATAACCATAAGACCTATAAGCAAAGCAAGAAGGAAGGAACTGTTGTTTGTTAGAAACCTAACAGCGTAGAATGTGATGAGGCAAGACTAGAGTGAACATCACCGATCACCTGACAGACTGTGTCTCAGGCTTCACATGACATTTCTCAAAACATATAGAAAAATCCCATGGATGGCCATGATAATGCAGATCATCAGTGATTTAGGACAGGATTTGAGTTTCATTGTTCATATTATAGGATTACACTAAAAATGTGGTAGCAAAGCAATTTTCACATTGAATTTAACATGACATTTAAGACAAGCTTTTTTTACTTGTAAAATAAACAGTGCATTTGAAAAAAAATAAGTAGGCATACATTTAAGATCCACGTATTTAAATTGCACATAAAATTCAATTCATTTGGATTACACAGTTTTGAAATAAACTAATAATCTTAATGAGATGCATATTTGTCTGCCATGCATAAATGAAACAAGTAGGATTTCTGCAATCTATGTATCTATTTTCAAAATGCATTTTATCTAAATGTTTAGAATCAGCATCATCTGTTCATCGTGAAAACAATTGATTCCGTAAATAATAAAAAAAATGGTTAAAATATGACTATGGAACAAGCAATATTCAGTTAGTTAAAATGTATGAGATTAAAACTAATCCAAATGGATGGAAATGTTATATGCAAAACAAACAACAAATTAAAAAATAAAAAACAATATTAAAGGGTTCATGACATGGATTTTTTAAAATTATTTTAATATGTTCCTCTAGGTTTACTTATAGTATTAATAAAGTTTTTTTGCGACTGAATGCCAGTGGGCGGGGCCTATGGTGAGACGATGACTATTTGCCAATGTCTTGCTCTGGAGGCGGTGTTTATGCAAATGTTTGTTCCGCCGTGACGTCGTCATGCCCTCTCAGATCTGAACAAGCTGTTTTTGGAGCTTGATTAAATACACGAGGAGGAGGTTTGAAGCTATGAAACTTAGGAAGTTTCGAAGACCGCTTATATGCCAAAATATCAAGGCAAATTTGATTTCTCATGTCATGACCCCTTTAAATTCAGGGCTAAATGCTATTTTTTTCCCCCAGATCTTTTATTAAATAAAAAAAATAAACTATATGTAAGGATTAATTTTTTTATGTATTCGTTCATATTGTCTAGATCAGACCACTTATATATACACACACTATTGGCGCTTTTCCACTGCGTGGTACGACTCGGCTCGGCTCAGTACGGTACGGCTCAGCTCAGTTTGCGTTTCCACTGCAGTTCAGTACCGCTTTAGAGTGGGTGGTATTATTCACACGTCGTTATAGTTGCGCCGCCTCTATTGCCGCGACTCCTGAAAAACGTTTTCATTCCGCGTCGCCCCATCAAGCTCTCGCTGGATCCGCTCCTCTGCTATCAACGAGAGGAACGTCTGTACTTCCTCAGACAACGAAACAGCCACTTTTTGGTTGTTAAAAAGGTGCGCTCGTTCAAAACAGTTGCGTTCGATCCTTCGCTGGCTGTGCTGATTTAAATCTAGCGGTTCTGTTGTGTTTGTGTTGCAAGTTCAGGAAGTGGCGATTCTCTCCGGCCAATCCGTGATCAGCAGAGTTTACACATCATGTTTTGGTAACGGTACGGTTCACTTGGAACCCCAACCGAGGTGGTACTAAAAAAAGTACCAGCTACCAGGTACTGTACCCAGTGGAAAACCCCCCAAAAGTGAACCGTACCGAGCCGTACCGTGTAGTGGAAAAGCACCATATGTGTGTTCAGCAGTGTTTAGTGCAAACACTCAGAGAAATGGGTGACTTGTCAGATGTCCAGAAAGGGCAAATCACAAGAGCCGGAGCATCTGTAACCTTCACGGCCCAGTTGTTTGGTGTTTTAAGAGCAACTTTCTTTAATAGCATGACTGCACAGACAAAGTATGTCAAGACTTCATCGGTAGTAGGACAAAACCGAAAGTGAATGATAGGGACCATCGAAGACTGAGAAGGGTTGTGTCCAAACAACACAGAACTACTGCTGCAAAGTGACAGATCCTGAAGATCCCGTTTCTTGAGAGAAATGTCAACATCTATAAAAGAGCTACAACTGCTAAAACCTCTTCCCCCACCCCCCCTCAAAAACCCTAACCACACATAATAATTAAGGAGGATGTTGCTTTTTATTCACTTGTCAAATAACCACACAACACGTGTTTTTTGTTTTTTTGTAAACCGAACTTTCCTTTTATTTAACCAAAGTGAAATGCCTGCAAACGCTTACAGACTGAATTTCTTCTGCAGCATTAACACCATTTCAAACTCTAAGCTAGTCATGACTATAAAAACGCTCTAGAAAACGGAACTATTCCATCATGACTTTACAGTATGACCCTCCCTGGAAAGGCACTGAAGGAGTGTTAGCAACATAGGAGCAGAAACCGAAAAAGACAACGGAAATCGGCTGCAGGACGTCCTTTAGTAGCCGCTCAGCACCTAACAAGAGCTTCAAAAGTCTGAAGGCTGAATATGAAACCAGATAAAAGCAGCAGAGCAACATTCAACTGCTCAGGTTGGGGAACATCTCAGTAAGGGTGGTCTGCTTCGCCCCCTTCTTCAAAGCAGGCGGGATGGTTGTAGAAGGAGAAGACGCAGGGCTCTTCACAGGGGGCGCTCCTACTGTTCCAGACAGTCTCTTTTCGGTTTTCTCACTGTGTACCGCGCTGTTCCTCGCAGTCACCTGTGCACTGAAGCTCTTTCTCGTGTTGTCCTCGTCTGGGTTTGCGCTTGTGGAAGGCCGAGTGGGTTTTTGCCGGAGCGCATATCCGTCAGCTGAACCCTTCCTGCGGTCCACAGAGTTTTCGCGGTCCAGCTCCTTCTGGAGTCGCATGGCCAGTCTGCGGTCCTCCTCCTCCTGCTGCCAGCGGCTCCGTAAGGCCTCCTCATGCCACACTACTTCAGACAGGAACGTGCTGTCAGCTGAAGGAGACTCGCAGGGCCTCTTAGTGAGCAGATCCGCTTCAGTCGGAAGCTCCACCTCTGAACTCTTCCTTTTCAGTGAACTGCTGTTCGGACTGTTAAAAACAAAAGTGTGTTCTGAGCAGCTGGAGGTGGAGGGTTTCCCGCTGTAGTCCAGCACAGGTGTGCTCAGCTTTCTTCTGTCCTCCACAAATTTTGCTGAGAGGGGTTTTGGAGGGCTCAGAATGTTCTCCTGAAAAACAGGAAGACTTATAAACTTGTTTTGAAACTGGAAATTGTCCAGAAAGTTTTTTTATCTTCAACTAAGGCCCCGTCCACACGGAGACGCGTCTAGCTGTATACGCATACATTTTGTATCGTACAGGCTGTTCGTCCAGACAGATCCGGCGTTCTGGGAGAGTGAAACCCATATTTTTTTAAACCGGGTCCTAGAGTGGATACATTTGAAAACGCCGCCCTTGTGTTTTCGCGTGGACAGCGAATCCGTATATTTTCTGAAACGATGACGTCATCAGCCCACGTCAGACACCGCTACGTCACGTAACAGCAACAAAAACATGAACAAACACTGAACGATTGTCTTTTTATTAACTAACATTAACACCGATTAATAAATGTATTGTTCCATGTTTGTTTGTATACCGCGCGCAAGGTTTATGCGCATAGTCCAAGTCTTCTTCTCCGTTTTTAGTGCATCTCTGTGGCAGAATTACAGCGCCACATGCTGGTCTGGCATTGTTTTGTGTCAGTTTCATGGTTTCGTGTGGACGCAGATATTTCTTGAGACGAGGAGAAAAAAAAAAGATCGGATAGGGAAAGCTCTGCCTTCGTGTGGACATAGCCTAAACATGCAGGAACTTTGCACATACACTATTCATTTAAAAGTGTGTGGCCATTTTTTTCTCTTTTTTCTTTTTTAAGTTAATCATTTTTATTCGGCAAGGATGCATTAAGTTGATCAAAAGTGACAAACAATGTTATAAATGATTTCTGTTTCAAATTTTTTTTAAATGATCATGGTTTTACAAAAATAAATAACATTTTAAAATGTATTTAAAGAGAAAATGGTTATTTTAATTTGTAATAAATATTTCACAATATTATTGTTTTTACTGTATTTTTGATACAAATGAATGCAGCCTTGGTGAGCAGAAGAGATGTCTCAATGTAATTCCAAAAAAAGAAAAATCTGTTCCTAAATATTCATTTTTGTTTTTACATTTGTATGTCTATTTTTTTTTTTTTTTTACTATTTTTAGTTTGGTACAAAACAAAATAATTCTAAATATAATATTGTGATTTGACTTTATCCTTTTCTCCTGTAAACATGCATGTTGTTTTCCAAACATAATATAAAATCAATGTCTTCCTTACAAGAAAACAAGCAAAAAA